CTTATTACCATTTTGTAACAAATGATGTATTGATTTAATTTTGATATGAAAGAACATATATCAAATTTAAAACTCAAAGTAATTAAAAATTTGATTGAGGTTCTTATGAAGCAAAATTAAACTAATAAGTCATATGTTACAAGATGGTAACAAGACTGAACTCATATGTAAATTTATCTTAATTATACTGCAAGCAATCCAGATCTCAGGCATATAGTTGCTCTCTCTAGCAGTATATTCAATTCAAAAGCTAAAGCTTAGTAACATATAAAAGATGCTCGACTGACATAAAAAGTATATTTTTTATAACATGCGAACAATCATTTGAAATCGATTATACGCAATTGACATCGTTATTAAGAATATGCATATTAGTAAACATGCTAAACTATAGTTATTATATTTATTTGCTATTCTTTCTTTTTGTTAGACTGAGAAAAGTTATCAGTTGCACATCTATTGTGTTCTTATGAAATCTAAAGCTAAAATAGATTTAGATGTATTTTTTTTAACATGGCTATAATAAACATATAATAAGAAAACAATGAAAAATAATGTGATAAAATTATTTTAACATTTTTACTAATAAGATACTCTTTTAATAAATATGTCAGTTGTGTAAAATAAGTTTTGAACAATAACGCAAATTTGACTCTCGAATATATTATATATATTCCATGTCTGTTCTACTTTGTATAGTCCAAAAACAAAATCAAAGTGAGCATAAAATTTATAAAATGTCATATATATATATATATCAATGAAACTTATTAATAATATTTAATTATAGCTATTGGCTTGTTTCTAACCTTTTCTGACATGAATAGAAAAACTTAAGAATCACTATTCTATTTTGCTCTAAACAATAAATAGATAGATGAAAGACTGACATTGACGGTAATATTCGACTACTTCTCACACGTATTCGGATTTTCAATAAAAGCACTAAAAGTTTAAAGAGTAACTAGAAATAAGTTGCCCAAAAAAATACATCAAGCATTGCATGAATAGAGATGAAAGAACTACAACGAAAGTATCGGTTTCTATCTACTATGAGTTAAAGAACAAATTATCCAAACAAATGAGAATATTAACAGAAAAGCCATGAAGATAAACAAAATAGGTTTGAAAAGAAAGAAACAACAAAAAAGAAATGAATTTCAGCGTCTACATGAAAGATTAGGTTATTAAAATAAAAGCTTTGATGAACTTGAAACATTTTCTAATAAATGATGTTTTGACAATATCAAAATCATTCAGAGCCAGTGCACTCGACAATACTGAAATATTCGAAAAAGATAAAGACTCATGACAATTAAAATCACATTGTCACTTAATATTAGACAAAAAAATATAAAAATGCGTTGTTCTATTATTTCAATGTTGCATCATATGGTATGATGTCAAGAACCCATGATTCATGCTATCTATAGCAGATTTGAAAGTGACTAATGCACTTTGCATATGAACATCGGGCAATGAATTCTATGAGATGAAAATATATGAAAAGATAGGGAATTTTATTTTGATTCAAACACAATACCTCTCGTTTGGGGCAAATTTTTCCGAGTCCTGTTTGAGGCAAAATAATTTTAGATAATACTGGCCTCTATATTTTGTTCTTTCAATTGGTGTAACAAATAAATCACATTTCTTTCAATCGAACAGATATTCAGTTTTATTTATTATTTGACTTGTTTATTTCACAACTTGAACACTTGGAATAATAATAACATGCTTGTCACTTCACTTTGATGATGATAACTATTGTAATCCCAGAATGATTCTTAATAACAGGTTTTATAAGTTAGAACGTGTTTTAATTTAGAATGTCTTGGATAAATAATTATAGAGTTTTCTTGGATATTATAATAATTTATCATGATTGACTGAGTGTTATTAATTTAAGTTTCTTCCTTAGGTTACTATACATAATCAACAATATTTTCAGGCTATCTTTCTGTTAGATATTACGTCAAATGGATAGTATTTATTAGTTCGTGTTCAAGATAAACTATTTCGGTCGTAACATGAACGAATAATTGGAATTACAGTCGTCTATACTCTGAAAGAATCTAATTTGCTTCAAGATCTTTTCCATCATTTGTTTGACATCATTTCGAACGTGCTGGAACCGATTAGATTTTATTTTCAATCAGATGTGACTTAAAATAAAGTTGAAGCAGTTCAAGCAAGCTCGTTTTCTACTGACAACCATATGTGCTAATCTAAAGATTCACTGTAGCCTAGTTCAAGAAATTTAAAAGTAATCTTTTATAATATTCTGATATCAAAAAAGAAATCGTTAGCGACATGTAGTAGTTGTGAAACTTTTTAAATACTTCTCTCTTAAAACAGATTTATATTGTTCAATGTCACAAGAATATAATACATATATGTCGTTATGCAATTTATGATATTTTTACTATCATATGGAATAAAGTAAATGCATTCATATCATAAACAAGAACAAAATATTCTTAATGTATGACAAAAAAATTTTAAAATTCTCGTATATAAACATGTAAATATTCATATACAATAACAAAAATAACTTTTGGAATACGAAAATTTTAAGTACAAAAGGATCTGTTATCTTATAACAGAACAAGTTAAAGGACTCTATTACCGATAGCAAACGTTCTGTCATTATTCATCATAGTCCTTTTGATCACCACGGTAACAATCTTTTCCTTGATGGTTATTTAGGATAAAAAAAACAGTTCCCCCAAACAAGAGTAGTCTTAACTTGTTTCTTATCTCACGCTAATCTCAGATAAATCAGAATTCTTTCAAAATTTCCATTGCTTGATATTAATCTATAGGCGTCGTTGGTGAGAAGTGCATCTGCTATTGACAGGTCGAACGAAACGACTTTTTTCTGAGAGACAGTACACCAATACAATTTATATTTTTTTCTACTGCAAAACTGTATAACGACTCTCATTGCAAAATAAGTTAGCGAATCACATGATTGATTGCAAATATTGACTAATGCAAAATACACAACATTGATCATACAATTGAAGAAAAGAAATAATTAAATGAAATATTCTCACATGTGATGCGTAAACTTTTTATTTGTCTACTTTGAAACAAAATCAATAGATGCTGAGAAAAATACAAAAAATTTTCTATTAATTACAATAAATATAAAAGTATCTTAACATTAACAGTTTATTTGTGAGGTGATTAAAAAACATAGTTAATTTTTCGTTATGTCACAAGCAGTTAAAAAAATAAAACAAAGCCGAATCTTGAATATTATAGTGTCTTTTATCCTGAACTGTTACCCATGGAATTGAAAAGCTTTTTACTGACATCTTGGACGCTGACATTGAAGTGTTGCATGACCTATAGTCAGAGAGATCAATCTACGAATACACAAGCAGTAAACCATGTGTATCTATAACAATTGTATGCAACAAGAAGTTTGATTGAGACGCCTGAAAAATTCGAGCATCATCAAAAACTCATTTTTAAAGAAAGATCATAGTTAGATATTTCGATGTCTATTATTCATGATTATTATGAATGTGAGTCATGTCAGGATAAGAAACTAGGTTTTTGTCATAAATGAGGATTTTTCATCTCAAAACAAGAAAAACATTTATACTGCAAAAAAGTTAGTTTTTCTTATAGTAGTTTGATGACGCATATCCAATGGTATTACATCACAGTAGGAGATAAACTCCAAGTTTTTTGTTTGAAAGTTCATTATTTCAAAAAATATCCTTGACGAAAGAAAAGAAACATTTTTCTTTGAATTAAATTTTATCAAAACTTGACTTTTTTCATTAAAATTGTTCACTTTTATTAAGGACTTTTTGACTTAATGTATGTATAGAAACTAGCGAAAGAAGAAAATCAAAAAAAGAATTAACAGATTCCAATGTTTTCTGTTAACAAAAGAAATGAACTTTTTCCGTAGAATTGGTTGAATACTATTAGATATGCGATGGACACCAAAAATGAGTGTTATAAATATACTATTCACTTGTTGTGTAATTAAAAAATAAACTATCGACTGATCTAGTAACAACACATCACTTATGACAAGAAAATGAAAATTAAACCATAACAGAAAATTTTAAAATTTGATCAAACCTACTTAAGTCTTATTCTATCCAATCTACAAGCCAGCCCCACTCTGATAGTTCCGCCATCTACATGTGCATTCATTCATTTATCATTGGTAGATGACAGCAAAATATTCTATTAGTCATTCTAAGGAAGTAATGGATCGATCCAAAAAAAAAAATTTAAACTAATCTTTAATGACAATTGATTATCTGAAATATCATTAACACGTGCCACAGATGATAATCAAGATGTACTATGTGACTAAATTTTGTCTTTTTATTCAATTTTTTCTATATGACGATGCTCATCATTTATAATTTTCTCATTTGATTGTTGAACAACGACCAACCATCGATGACAGAACAAGCAGTAAATTGATTTTATTTTTCATTTTTTCCCTACAATTATCCATGTGCCTAAAGGCACTTAAGAACAGTGATATAATCAGCAGTGTACTCAAATTATGCGATGAAGACTTTGTTTTTTCTAGAACAAGGTCATTTTAATTCCAGCGCCCTCATCTTCCAAGCAGTGTTTTGTGGATTGATCACACCAATCAACGCGAAGCATGTGATTCAAGTACATTAAAAGTTTCGATCCCTCTTAGTAAATCGATGATATCTATGACAAACCTGTAC